GAGAGAGAGAGAGAGAGAGAGAGAGAGAGAGAGAGAGAGAGAGAGAGAGAGAGAGAGAGAGAGAGAGAGAGAGAGAGAGAGAGAGGCGCTACCCATCCCTTTGTATGTGTCGGAGCATTCAGGGAATGCAACTGACAGGCTTCGGTAGTGTGACCTGCCTGACCTGGCCCTTTGATATGATAGATATCACGAGCACTGGCCAGTAGGTCACTCAGCTCCAGAAACCCTTAGCGCAGCTCACAGTAGGATAGTGCAGTTAGGATGCCAGGGCAGCCTGAGGATTGTATAAATGAACTGAGCCCTACCTCAAGTGCTATCAACAATAGAGGCTAAGAAAACCAAGAGCGGTTGCATGACAGTGGTTGTTCTTTGAGGGAGGGATGAGTCAGCAGCTGGAAGATGTTATTTTTTTTAGATTTGAAGGATGTTTTAACTTTTAACCGACCCACCCCCTCGTATGTGATATGTCTTTGCTAACAAAGCATGCACTGGGTTGAAAACCTGACCAAGTTCATGCAGACTTGGCATAAATGTAACACCATCACTGCTGCCCGCTAGAGAGGATGTTTTTGTGCATCACTCTTTTATCGTCGTCGTCTCTGTGAGGAAATTAAACAGGGGAAGGAGAAGAACCTATGTCAGTTAAAAAAAAAAAAAAAAGACTAAGGGAAGAGGTCTGAGGTACTTGAGGTGCTGTGGTTTGAACCTATGATGTGCGTCGTATATGGCTGCAGTTTCTTTTTTCACCGTCCGGCGTGCTCGCAATTTTGTACTTGCCGAATGTATGTATTCAAGTTATTCAACTGTATTTATTCAAATTTTATTGCCATTTTCAGTTGAGAGAGAGAGAGTCCTGATGTGGGGACGCTCTACGAGGACGCGCTACGATTCAGTGAAGAGTCAGGTCACGGAGGAGACGTGGGACACAGCTCCACAAGCTCTGAGGCTGAGCTGATTTACGCAGCTGGCCTGGACACAAAGTGGGCAATGCTATCCACATTGATTCCACAAACTTTGTTTTTTTTTTTTGGATGATAAATTCCATGGGTAAAAAATCCACAAAAAATCCACAATGCAATGAAAAATCAAAGGGTGAAGTCCATTATCTGAGGGGGGTACAACCAGACCTTGAAATCAGTCACACCTTCACTGCAACACCTTACTGTGTTTGCCCCCAGCATTGACTGCAACAACCTTGCATCGCGGGCGGCAAAACATCAATTGCATAGCCACATCAGCACTGAAGAGAGGTGACGAGAGGGCTGACGGTATTGAGCGCTGGACAAAGACAGACAGTCCGTGTCTCTTGCAATGCTCTGGACGCTATGACATTGCGTGTCCATCCGGTTACGTGTTTGCGAGGATGCACAATCTCTACTCAAATGCCGAAAAAGGAAGAAAGAAAAAGACGTGGAAGGCCACTGTTTCATCAGACATAATAAATCTATCTGCATCTCTATCTCTGTACTTATGAAGCGAAATCGGTCCTCACATTACGCTTCCTGCTGTGGGCCCATGAAAACGCGTGGAAGGTGGTACCTGCGGTCCACGCCATGGTTTGCTGTGCGAAGTGTCGAGCCTCTGGGTGCACTCGTGTTTGAATACAATCAGATACCTCTGGGTGCACTTGGGCAGTAGCTCACATATGGCAAAGACCTCCATACTGCACTTGGGCAGTAGCTAGCACGTGGAAGGAGGTGTCGGTACATTTTTTGTTCTTTTGTCGTTTTGTGGCGGGCTTTCTCTGTTTGTTCGTTTTGTTCTCCCGTCGTTTTTGTCGTTCTGTGGCGCGCTTTCGCTGTTTGTTCATTCTGCTGTTCGTTTGTACTGACCAAAATTTGTTGTCCCGCTGTTTTTGCCGTTTTGTGGCCTTCTTTTTGCAGTTACTTGAGGTCTGAGGCCTCTAGCCTCTTCCAAATGTTCAACGGGGTGATTTGAGGTTAGACAAAATTGAGCTGACGATCTTTTTTTTTTTTTTTTTTTTCCCTGTTTTTCTGATGGGACAATGCTCGGATCTATTCGTGGGGAGCGACATGTGCCGGGAATCGGCCCCAGTGTCCCTCGTGAAATTACGGAAAGCAAATTGAGCTACGAGGGCCATTACCCAGCTTTTTTTTCTTCAATATTTCTTATATATCTTGGGGGCCTGCTAGCACGGGTGATAAGAACATCCCTCTCTAGTAGGCCTGACCCTGGGTGCTCCGGTCTATTCGTGGGGAGCGGCACCTGCTGGAAACCGGTTCCAGCGTTGCATTATACACCGAGTCAATTCTTTTGAAGGCTTCCGGCCTGCTGGAAACCGGGTCCATCATCCCATTGTACAATCAATCAGCTCCTGCCCCGGGGCCCGACCCTGGATGCTCCGGTCTATTGGTGGGGAGCGGCACCTGCTGGAAACCGGGTCCAGCGTCCGATTATACAACAAGTCAATTCTTTTGAAGGCTCTCCCCACCTGCTGGAAACCGGGTGCAGCGTCCCATTATACAATCAATCAGCTCCAGACCCAGTTTCAGCTTTAGCTCGTCTCCCTCGTGCAAATCATAAGCATCTTATGTCAGCAGTGCGGCCTCTTCACCCTTCATTGGCCGCCAGATGGGCAGAAGTATCGTTGGCTGCACTCTGACGCCCTTGATCCCTCTCAGCTGTCACCACCATACCACTGCACATCCACCATTGACAGCTGGTGGGGAGGGAAGAGGTCTGGAAATTCCGAAGGCGGCCGCAGCGGTAGATTAGGGCTAATCTTGGTCCAATCCTTGAAGGTAAGGCTGAAGTGACTGTGTAGTCTCTTCTGGTCACTTTTTCATCATTCGGTTGGTCTCTTCCCCCCCCAATAGATGCTAGCAATCCAGCCTCCTAGGTGACCACCCAACCATTTCTTCTGAGAATCTTTGAATTGTTTGTTGAATTTCTTCTCTGGTATGCTAAAGATCCAGTTGCGACTCCAAGTTTGGATGTTGCTTAATGAGGTCTGTCTGAAATTTTTGCTTTATCATYTTGTTAAATTCCTCGCCAAGTCTTTTTTTTTTTTTGAAGGCCCTTATACAAGACCTCTATCCTGGTGGTGGTAAGAGAACCACCGGGATTGAGGCTTTGCCTGGCGGGCCGCTCCGTCTATTGGTGGGGAGCTACACCTGATGGAAACCGGTCCAGCGTCCCTTAATTACATCTTTACAAACAATGCATCAAACGAGGGTGGCACCAATGTGCTGGAAACCGGGTCCAGCGTCCCATCTCCAAACTGCTCTTCCGTACCTAACCTGCAGTAGGGTCGGGTAATGGGGGGGGGGGCTCACCGGGGGGCACCAGTGAAATCTCCCTCAATCCCCTAGCCTCTGCCATCAACCTACTATCCTCCTGGCGCCTATTGTGTCTTACACCTCAACCAAAACAGGCTGAACTAGGCCGCAATGCCGATGTGAAGGGTCTACTCCATCCTATCCTTCAGCAGGGTCCGGTACTCCCGTTCACCAAGAAATCCCGTGACCCAACTGCCATCTACTCCCATCCACCAGACTCTGCTGAGAAGCCATCGAAAAATCTTATCTGAAAAAGTGGACCAGCGTCCTAAAAACAGACTGAGATTGAGTGTAATCAGAATGTAAACAGATAAGTAGAGACTAAGCAGGTCCTCAGACCCACTTCAGAAGGGCTCACACAGATGGAAGGATTTCTGCTAAGGACAGCAGGTGGGGTGGGAAAGGGTCTGTGAAGTCCTGAGCAGGCCGTAGCGGGGAGCTGGGATCAATCTTAGTCCAGTCATGAAAGATCAATTGATAGTCTCTTGCTATCCCCGCCCGGGGGTCCTCCTGTGATTCCCTTTCTGGCTGACAACCGATCCATTTCACCTTAGTCACCCATCCCTCCCTTTCTCCCCCCAGCCAATTCTTGCTAAATGTAGAAATGATTCTGTTCATATCCCCCCAGAAATGCATTTGGTCAAGCTTGTCTTTAGCTATCTTCCATTGAGTCGCAATCTCGTGCTGGACCAATGTCCGGATCTGTTCTATGGCCTCACCATCCTCCACCCGCGCCCCTTCTATCTCAAAACAGCATCTTTTCCACCATATGGTCCACAGAACACTCCGTCTTCCTAGGTTGAACATATTTTCCTCAAATGTTTTCCCTCGGATTGGGGGATAATATCCCAGCAGAAGGGCCCTCCAGTCCCATGGCCATACTGCGCCAGGAACTATGTGGCGCCATATCCTATCCCAACTTCTCCATAGTAATACCGACGCGGGGCATTGGAGGAAGATGTGCTCGATGGTTTCGCCTCGCCTCCTCCCTGGGTAGGTTGAGAGACATTTATGGCACCATGGCAGTGCCTTCCCTTGTTGTTTCAGGCGCGTATGGTCTATTAGCCAGTCATTAGTCGGTAGGCACCTGTGCTCTATTTGCCACTGAAGGGCGGAGATTTTGGCTGGTCTGTTGCTATACTGTGCAAACCATCGGATGGGTTTCAACAGTTTGCGGTCGACGTTAAGATGGCGATACCATCTATCCTCTACACGATCCTGCAGATTGCATTTTGGTCTGAGCATTCGATACACCGATTTGGATTTTAAGTTTTGTAGTGTTAGTGCTTTTGCTTCCCTCTTGCTGGACGGTGAGTTCAGGGTCCAACACCATTCATCAGGGTTCAGGGGGAGGTCCTCAATTGGAACCCAGGGGCGAAACACCTTTTGGCGCCCTCCGTTCTCTGTGTCTCTGATGCGATACACCTATTTTTTATTCCTCCATATGAAGGGTTGCTGTTTACATCGTAGTTCCTCGTCCTTCGGAAAGGAAAGACTTCTATAAGTATGTGTGACCGGTCGGCGAGGTGTATGTAACCCACTTCCTGTTCACGGTCGGGTAGCCCCACCCAGTTGCCTTCTTTTACGCAGGGTCCTTTTCTAAGGGTGGTATACCAATGAAGGGGAAAGTTGTCGATCAGTTCCTCCAATGCCCTCTCAGTGAAGTGGCAGTACCGTAGTGTTGCTCGTATCCTGTCGGTACTCTTCCAATCTCTTTCCTCTGTGTCCCAGAGGTCCCTAACCCTTCGGACACCATGTTTCACCCATCCCTTCCATGGGGAGTCCGAGGCATTCCGCACCTGCCCTTCGGAATCCGTTATTAGACGGTTGTCAAATAAGGGTTGCCGGTATATTTCCTCCCATCTTTTCGCTGCCGGCCTGTCGGGAGGGGAGAGTTTCCTGTACGTATAAGACATATCCAGAATCTGTCTGTGGGATCCCCGTTTCTGTATTTCTTGGTTAACCTTCAGTACCTGTCCTCTAACCATATACAGGGATCAATTTCAGATGGGGATTCTAAGGCCAGGTCGGAGATTTGTGTCAGGGCAAGGGGGACCCATGGGGAGGTCGGTTAAAAAATAATGTGCTGGAGCCAGTGAATTGAAAGTGCTTGGAATTGTGTGGCCGGGTCCACGATTCCTAATCCGCCTCTGCTCTTAGGCTGGATCACTGAATCCCATGCTACACGGCTTATCGTATGGGTTTTGTTGCTGTCTCCCCTCCATAAGAAGACTGCTAACTGTTGTTTGAGTGCTTTGAGACCCCCGTTACTCATCGGCCATAGGATGGCTTGATGGCGAGTGCTCGCCCAAAAATGGACGTACGCTTATTGTTCCATTTTTCAAGTTTAAGTTGTGCTGGTCCAGTCAGTCACTCGTCATTAGATGCTGGCCTTCCTTTAGCGGTAGTCAGTGCCCCCAGAATTCTAAGGGGGTCCTCAGGGGGTAGCCAT